GTATCAGTCATATCTCTTCTAGAAACGGCTGAGCTGGAAAAATGAGCAAATCGCCAATACCGCGAACGAATGAAACTATTTTACCTTCTTTATCATGGACATTTAGGTATCAAAAAGAATACATATCTAAAAGACTCCCACCGGCAACCTACTCGGTCCCTTCATAATAAAAATTAACCGAGTTCTCTAGTCACACCAACATGTTCCAGTATTCTTTTTTCCCGAGAACTGCAACCAACTGCAATTCCCTGCCCTCAGCTGTGGTGGAATGCCCGTTGCTATCATACTATCTTACAGGCCCTTCAGTCCATGGAACATAGCTCTGACATAGTTTTACATGAACCCTTACGCTAGTTTTCTTCTATATGTTTACGTACCCATCTTTTCACTGGTTGTTTAAATATCTTGCTGCTTTGCTTCTATGAATAATTCGTTGTACTCTGCTTCATTTGTTATTATCGCCGCAATGCTTCATGTGTGTTTGTAACCTTTTCTTTTGTATTCACTTGTACCCACTTCTGTCAAAGGTCTGAAGACTGGCAGTATTGTAATAAATAAATAAATGACGGATTTTCATACAAATATGATGCTGTTATGAAATATGTTTTGGTGGTCTAGTTGCTTAAAGGGCCACACATCAGGCCCCATAGCAAATTTTAGTTGGACCATAAAGTTGTTGGGTGTCCAGTGAGGAACATTTTGCCATAATATTTTTAATTGATTCATTACAAGCTGAGAAAACTGTTTTTTTTTTTTTTTGAAGCGGCGCGAAAAGAAAATGAGAGGAGCTCGAAACCCTTGCCGCTCCTCCGCGTAGCCTTCGCAAACCAAATGTCTTCCCTACCCTCTCCGGCATCCGACCATGAGGTTACGTACGCATGACGTGCCCGAACAAGCTGAACCCCCGTTCACGGGACCGATGTTCATTTATTTTGACCAGCGTTGTTTTGAGGTGTACTGCCTGTTTCTGCGGAATGGCTTGGAAACGCTGGCTTAGACGTGATAGAATAGATAGCACGAGTGTGCGAATGCGTAGTAGCGTTCCACAGCTGTCGTCTGCTCGATGTGCTGACCGCGGGGACATGAACGCATGCGAAACGCTGGCACATTAGCCCCGCATCGTTGCAATTCACATAAAAAAAATGAAAGGAAGACTCGCACATTTTCTTATTGCATCTTATTATTTGTTTCAAGTTCTCTTCATCTTCTATTCATCTATTCAAGCAACAAATTGCATAAATTAAAGCATGTCGTGTTAAATAATTTAAGCCATGTCACGTGGTATGCTGTTCACGTCAGAGCAGAGTTGTCTACTTAGATGGGCAACATCACTGCATTGCCGTGTATGTAGAGCCATTCATACGCGCACGTCATGCCCTCATTCTCTAGGCGCCCATGCGCAAAAGGAAGGGGGAGCAGCGTTCATCTTGAAATTAGATCTATTTGCGCAGTGTGTAGCGTTGCAAATTTTGGCAGACGTGATCATGAACGCCTCATCTATGCATTGTGCTTGTCGGCTCAAAATTGTCAAACCTGGTGAGTGGCCCTTTAAAGGGACCAACAAGCTAGAATATTTGGGTGTTCTGTCAAATATTATTAAATGGATAGGAATAAATGGATAATATCAAATGGATAGACAGGCAACAATTTGTAGAAGTATCAGGTGAAACCTCAGAACTGCTGTGTGTGACTTCTGGAGTGCCCCAGGGAAGTGTTTAGGGACCTTTGTTGTTTTTAATTTATATTAATGGTTTGGTAAATTTAATTCATAATGGTATTTGCATTCGACTGTTCGCAAATAACTGTGTTGCTTTTGAAGAAATTTGTTCTCTAAATGATCATGTACTATTACAAGAAATCCTACAGGCTGTTTGGGATTGGTGCATTTGATGGCACATGGAGTTAAACACAGAAAAGAGTGTACTCTTGCGTATTACAAGAAAGAAAATGCCCAGTATGTTCACTTACTCTATTAACCAGCGTGATATACAGGACGTTAGACAAATGTAGATATCTGAGTGTCACTAGATAGATCCGAGTGTCAGCTTGTGAGAGAGAGAGAGAATAAACTTTATTGAAGAATTAAAATTACGTGACTAATCCTGGGTGGAGCCCTCTTGTAATACTTGCATCAGAACTAAATTGGAATACGCTTCAATTGTATGTTACCGCTATAACAAAAGTGATGTTGCAGAACTAGGACGGGTTCAAAGGAAAGCAGTGCGCTTCATATTTAATAAATATAGAATGACTGACTCGCCTTTCTTATTATTGAGGCAACCTAACATGCCATCGTTAGAATTGCTCAGAAAGGTCAATAGGCTGATTTTTTTCAAAATTGTCTTACCGTAAATACAAAGGTAAGCTTGCCTGATTGTGTATGTCCACACACAGCTAGTAAGACTAAACACAGCCACAGTAGGGAACTTGCCCCGATTTTCGTTAAAACGAAATTGCATAAATGCAGCTTTTTCCCTGGAGCTGTGTCTGAATGGAATGCTCTGCCCTCCACTGTTGTTGATGCCAATGACTTTGTATGCAAACTGGAAAATCTATATTATCTGTCATGGCCGTACTTGGCATTTTTTCTTGCATTCCCATTTTTTTCAAAGGTTCTTTATGTTTTTTTCTTTTTGCTGTGATTGCGATGTTTTGTTCTTTATTATGATTCGTGATTGATGTACAACTTCTCGTGCACGGACCACGTGGTGGTCTGCAGTATTGCTAAATAAATAAATAAATAAAAAATAATTGTCTAGAACATGAAATGACATGACTGCATGGATGGAAACATTGTCCCTTATAGTGGCTCAAACCAACCCTGTTGTCTCGGGAGAAGTGGAGTTATATGTTAATTTCTTTATTGAAAATCTTGAAATGTTCTGTGGCGCCATCTGGTGGCAGAAACTTGAGTAATCCGATGGGCCCTGTCTTGTGACCGTGAATTAGTGTACGCGGTCAACAATCTTTGTTGGTGTTGAAATTGTTTGCTTCCTTATATTTAAAGATATTACTCCACAACATTGTACATGTAGACCTATATTAGCAGTGCGCATTAAGGTGGGGCTGCCTTTGCATGACGTAATGATGCCGTGCTCGTCAGCACGTCTTGAGCAACTTTTCTGCGTGCTCATGAAGCCGTGCATGCAGTTTCTAGGTCGCGAAAATTTGGGGTGACGTGGTTTTTCAATGTACAACTTGTCTCTGAAATGACATGTACTGCTACTCGGCACAAACTGTGCATGTGTGCAGTGACGTCTTCGGTGACTTGGCTTTGCTCGTGTGTCGTGAGAGTAACAATGACGGGACAAGGCATCCTCAACACAGGTGCAACAACCTTGGGCGCAGGCGCACACAATGCGGTACAAGTATAAAGAAGCTGTATAGAGCCACATCTTCTCATTGTAACGGCTTGTTATTTATAAAAATAGTTGTAAAGCTAAGAATAAACGCGGTCAAGCATAGTTACAGGAACTCCTGCGAAATAAGAATGACAGCATGCACTAATCGCCAGAAAGGCTACCGACATCGCTGTCGATTCTCAGCGTTGCTGGATGAAAGGGTTCATCCGTGTTCAGAGCTTTTCTGATTGAGAAATACTGCTTATGAAATCACTGTGTGCTTTTGGGATTAACTACAGCAGCTACAAACACTATGAAGGGTGAACTGCCTGTTGCGCCGGAGAAAACTGGGTAGAAAAAAGCAGTTGTCCCTTCAACTGATACATGAAGAATACTTGTGCTGAATACTGGAAAAAGGGTTACATGTGACCTGTTGTTGTTTATCTGTCATTCTCTCTTTCTATTTGTATGATGAGAAGTCATTCTATAACTATTTCAAACACTCTTGACCCATGCAACTTCTTAGAATACCACTGTAAGCTCGTCTATATAATCGGTTCCCATCTTGTTTTGATACCCTGTGTGAATCGCACGTCATCATTGATATTTCAACAGTTACATCTTCAGACCATATTGTATCAAACATTTTTCATCACAACAGTGGCCACTTCTCTGAATGCCATATCAAGAACATTTACGAAGTCGATTTTCAACACGATTTCATATTTTCATTCATGAGCACACTGTTATTCAAGCAGTGTTGCTAGAGCCACTGTTTTAACAAGAGGTCTTCACTTCGTGATGAATCCCCTTACCATCACCCTTGATGGAGATGGGTTGAAAATTGGCTCCGGTGCCTGACGTCTCATCGTTTCAAGCCCATTCTTCCCCAGAACTTTTACCTTTGAATTTTTATTTGTGTGTAATAATAATGACAGCCTGTGCCTTCCCCTGAACTTTTGCCTTTGAATTGCTATCTGTGTGTAATGATAAATTACTTGGGTTTTGCGTCTCGAGGAGATCACAATACGAGTAAGAGAGACATCGTGGTGGAGGGCTTCCGAAATTTCCACCGTCTGGGGTTTTTTAGGGTATACCGAAATTGAAGTGCACGGGTCTCTAGCACTTTGCCTCCATCGGAATACGGCATTCGAATATGGCTGCTGTGGCTGGGACTTGATCCTGCTGACCTTTGGGTCAAAATACGGCTGCTGTGGCTGGGGTGTGATCCTGCTGACCTTTGGGTCAGCATTCTAGTGCCATAATAGCTCTTGACACTGCAGTGGGATTATTTGTGCGTAATTTAAGTAGTCTTCATAAAAATGCTCTGGGGCAAGTGTTGAAGCTTTATCTACTGTGATAACTCAGTGGCTAACATGTTCTACTCAAGGATGGGGGTTGGAATTCTTGCATTCAGGCATCGTTGCTGGAGGGTTGGAATCGTGCCACTCAGGCATTATTGCTGGAAGGTGTTAAATGGGAAAAAAACTCGTGTACATTGGTAAGAACCTCGGGTGGTCAATATTAACCTCTAATTCCCGTTATAACATGCCTCTGGATCACATCGGCTTACCCCAGTGTCTGTAAGTGTTGAAGCTCATTTCTTTCTGTCTTGGTTGTGTATCCTAATATTTCCTTTTGTCTTTTGTTGTGGTGCAGCGTAACTCGGTGGCGCCTCCCTGGGGGTCGGGGCCATGATCGAAGTTGGTGGGGAGTCCAATGGAGAGCAGCCGGGCACTGACCATGAGTCTTTACAGTCGACTACCCCCGCCGTCGCCAGTCTCCTGCAGGCCACCCAGGCTTCAGGGGACCTCCTCGCTCACTCCAGGGCCCCTCAGGTACCAACCATGGGCTGGGATTTTACACTGATGCAGCTGCAATCTAACCAAATGAAATTAATATTCCTTGACTGTAAAGGAAGGAGCACTGCATAAAAGCTGCTAAAATTAGTAGCTTCACGAGGTAGTTACCTGTATTAGTGGCAATTGTGATGCGCAGAAATATACAGAATTGCAAAAACTTAAGCAGGTGCAGTAACGTAATTTATTACATACATAAGTTGGAGTATAGAAGTACATAAAGATACCATGGTTTAAGATAGAAATGCATATACGATATGGTTTAAGCAAGAATACAAAGCATGAATATATAAAATCTATAGGGAGAATTTAGTAATCCATCATTCTATTCATATCATTGCACGAAACATAAATGCTACAGAAAAATTAAGGTCAAGCATTTTTGTGATTGCATGTAATTGAATGGTGTGAGAAACAAGTGGAGCATTGGTTTTCTGTAGTTGATATGGCAGCCGTTCATATGCCAATTGCCATGGGACCGTTATTGTGAACTTTCTACTCTGTCAGGTCCTGTTGAGAAATGGGCTCTGTGGTCAGTGGCTTCACAGGAGCTGGAAGCTGGGTGGAGTTGGGCATATTAGGTTCTTACGTCAGTGAACACATTGACACATCATTCCTTGAATTTTACACACTTACATTTCAACTGACCGCCACGATGAGAATGGTTTGCGTCTCCTTTTGGAACTAACTTCCATGCTGCTGTAAAGATGTAGATTTGTTTCTTCAATTAACAGTTGGCCTAGCCCTTTAATAATTGCACACATATCTTGCAAAGAAGTTATTTGAAGTCTAAATTAGTGTCTTCAAACCATCTGAACAGAGTATCATTGGAGCAAAATTTGCTGTGAAATTAGAAGAAAGTGCTGTGAAAGCATCCCCTCATTCTCTCTCGTGCCTCTCATCCTTATCACGCATCCCGTTCAGGCCCAATCTGAAAGTGCCAGCACCTGAAATTTATTGTCAAAACTGATTTTCTTTCCTGTTTAATGATTGCATACACAACTGTGTGCACGACACCCATGATGATTTTCAGGTGCCCGCGAACAAAATCATGGCCTTTAATGTCTTGATTTGCCATTTGACAATGGTGCCAGCGACTATCAGAGGTCTGTGAATGTTGCTTATAGCTGTTGGCTAGTCTGGGCTCATCATCAGAAGTGCTTCCATGGCATGTTCCCTGTGGTCTGATTCCTTGCCTTTGTGGTTCTTACATGAGTGAATTATTCTCAAGTGTGGTGTTATGAACTAGAGCCACAAACGTCTGAGGAAGTCCACGTACACTCTGTTTTAGCCCGCTTGGAATTTGACGTTAGGCTTGCGGGACTAAATATGTACACGTAGTGAACTAGCCGAGAAAATGCTGTGGTCTTCCAGCCTGCAACACTCGGGTGTTCTGCGAGAGGTGCACTTGTTGTGCGTGACGGGGTGGTTGTGGCTCAACGCAGGTGCGCGGCATGGTCTCATCTGCGGAGGCCTCGGCCCACGAGGTGGCCACCACGGTGGCCGTGGTGACCAGCTCGGATGTGTCCCTAACTGGGTCGCCCACCTCCTCCTATCAGCACTATTTGGCTCCGACTACAGTGTCCATAGGAGGCCATATCGAGAACATCACCATTCCGGCACAGGTTTCTGGTAGGCCTCCCGTTTCCTCAAAAATGTCGCTTAACTTTGCTGTCGGAATGGCATTCCTTTGCGTAGTGGAAAATTTTGTGTACGCCACCCAAAGCCACTACAAATGAAAAGTACAGTAGCGCTAGCGCTGTCCTTGTGTACTTTTTTCGTTGGGTCCTCGTTGGGTGTGCACAAAATTTCTCACTATGCAGTCAAACCAACTAGCCCATCTTTCCGGAAATTCTCATTGATCTCCTTTCGTTCAAACTCTAGGGTGCTGTTATTAAAGAAAAAAAATAAAGAAGAGAGAGAGAGAGAGAGAGAGAAAAGTTGACATGAGTGAGTAACTTTAGTAAGTTATAAAAGTCCACTCCTGTATTAAAAAAAAAAAAAAAGGATTCACTTAGCCATCAAATGCTCTGTCACCATCAAATGCTCTGTCAAATTACCGTCACGGCATCAGCATCGGTGTTACACCAGTTTATGCCTTATTCTCTTGAAAAAATGTGAGGCTGGTGTCATTACGGACATCGGTTGATGTCATCAGCGTACCATTATTTATGAAAAACTTACGAGTGCTGTTTAGCACTACCATAACAGTGCTGATGAAGCATCCGACGGTTGTGTGAATCCGGTCAAATGGTCCTTGACGTGACGCTGCTCCTATGCTGAGCTAACCCCAGTGCTGCCGAAGAAGTTTGTCTGCTTCAAGAATGGCTGTGGTGTCTCAGTGAAGTGCAATGATCGTTGAAGGGTTGATGTTGCCATCAGCTTTCCTGCGTAAGTTGGTGCAATGATCATTGAAGGGTTGGCGTTGCCATTAGCTTTCCTGTATAGAGTTGGTGCAATGATCGTTGAAGGGTTGGCGCTGCCATCAGCTTTCCTGCGTAGAGTTGGAATGTTGTGTGCAAGCACGTACTAGAATTTGTGGGGGTGCTATCACCCCTGTAAGCTTGTTTGCGTCTAGTAGGGGACACGTGTCTCGTGGATAAGCCACGTTTAGTGTTAACAGCTGCTGAGCGCAGTGCTCGCGAGAGTTCACTATCATAATCATCATGGTTAGCGTGGTAGCGCCAGTTAAGACGCCTGGCGGAGAGGATAGGTGGCCAGACTGAAAAGATTGGAGTCTCTTTTTCACGTGTGGCGATTGGTGTTAATGGTCGTCGGCTGCGGCGGGCCTGTGGGGACGGCGGTGGGGACCATTTCACATGGGCCCCTCGTGGTGAGTCGAGCATTGGGTATGCCGCCTTCATGTTACCTTGTTTGTTATGCTGATTGAGTGCATTGGAATATTCTATAAGGTTGTGTTTAGCGAGTTGATCACTAGTGATGCATTTGATTCGACTGACGATATCGTCAATGTAAAAATAATTGAATAAATCTGTTTGTTTGGTTTCGTCCGAACGTGTCGACTGTGTTCATGTGTTCTGAGTGCGTGACTCATTTAGAGACACCACAATTTTTAATTACAGGGGTTAATATACTTGAGAGAAGGGGACAGAGGGCTTAGGATGGGTGTTGATCTGTTTACGCGTTGTTGGCACGCTTATGCTTGTCCTGTATGTTGTTACTAAAGTCTTCCTCCCCCATCTTGGATCTGATGGATTGATATTGTCAGGCAGTTGGTTAACAGGTATTTTGTATTCTGCCTTATAGTGTAGACCCTCATTGAAATGAGCACTGTCTACATGATATGTATCTACTCGCTTGTATATACATGCATACAGTATTTTGCATTGTTATCCTTAGTATTGATTAAAATCTGCCCTCTAATTGTTATGTTATTACAAAGAGTGGTCACATAAAGGGGGAAAGCATGACTTGTCTTTGCAGAGTGCTTCAAAGACGTGTTAGTCCAAAATTTGGATTTATGTTTTATTAGTTGTGTGTAAGGAGGAATTTCGTTATCCAAATGGTATTTGTGCACACACGGCTGGTTCATGCCATCACAGGTCCATATTTCTAGTTTTTTTTTCTAGATCCCCATTGTTTAGTGCTATCACCTCTGTTTGCTCTTGTGCAGTGACAAGTCCTGGTGTTGCTGTGGCAGCTGCCGCCACCTCACAGAACCTGGTGCGCATTTTGGCGGCTGCGAGCCAGCAGAACTACTCCTCTCCGTCGTCCACCCCTACAACCAGCCGGTTGACGACCACGGGGTTGGGACTGCCGAGTTCGTCCAGCCGTCTCTCTGCCACCAGCCCGGCTGCATTGCTGGCCACCACGCAGCCTCCTGCCCAACAGCAGGCCATCGTCATGGATACCTTGACACAGGACGAACAGCAGCGCCTGCTCTCGTACAGTAGTGGCGTGATGGCCAGCCCCTCGCCTCCTCGAACTCCTCAGCGGTCGCCGACCGTGTCGTCGTTGAGTGCGTTGCCCCCACAGTTTGCAGTGCCCCCCAAACAGAGTACTACTAATGTGCTACCTGTGCCCCCCCTGCCCCCTCCTCCTCTCCCTGTGTCCTCCCCCACGGCATCTACGAGTGGCACAGCAGTGTCCAGTCCCACTAGACCTGGCGGCCTCCTCCAGCTGGTAGGCGTCGAGTTGCCTCGTGCGGCCAAGCGCATCAAGCTGGAGGTGCGGCCGCCAGCCAACGAGGAAGTGGCTGCCATGCGGCAGCGGGTCTACTGAGCACCGGTGCCGGGCGATCCTTCGCAACAAGAAACGCTATGTGGAACACCTGACGGAAGTTGTTTTTTCTCCAGAATGGGGGAAACATGATGGACTACATTGCATGGAAGCGGCGGCCCACGCCGCAGCTGCTCGCGATGCTGCGGGCTCATGCACTTGACAGTGAGGACGAGGAGGATCCCGCCCGGTTGCTAGACACGCGGCCTCCGAGTGCATTACTAGCAGCAGCGACGGTCTCCTCAGCCGCTGCGGATGACTACGGCCGCTGCAGCGATGGCGGCAGCCGTGGTTACCACGACGGTTGTCGCCGGCATGCTGTCATCTTCGTCCCTTACGACAATGTCCACGGCGAATTCCGTGGCGACTGTGTCGACGGCGAATTCCGTGGTGTCAGCTACTTCGATCGCTGCCATTGCCACCCATTTTGCCGCGTCTACTGGTAAGTGCTACTGAGAGCATAAACTGTCACTTAGCCTCTTGTGTTTTTTTTTTCTCTTTGTGGGATAAAGAAATGTGAGTGACTTGTGCTAGCGATGCAAATCTGGACAAACTGTAGGGCTTGTGGCTGACCTGTATTATTAGCAAGGTCTTCATTGGCAATGCTTTAAATAGCATGGTTTAACGTCGAGCCAGTGCTCTATTTCAGATAAGTACATATGGAGGTTTTGACAGAGAGCGTGAATGTCATGAGCTGACGAAACAACGCGATATCGTCAGCATATACGTACGTCTGAACATTCTCATTGCATGGGATTGAGCTTATTAAATATTGAATAGTATCGGAGACAGAACAACGCCCTGCAGTACTCCTTTTGCCTGTTTATAAGAACTTGTCGAAACACCATTTTGTGAACAGTAAGATGTTCTATTTTCTAAAAATTCTGTTATCCCGGCATCTAAATAATTCGGCAAATTGATTGCTCTTAGATGACTGACTAGTACACTATGTTTGACGCTATCATACTTTTTTCTATGTCCAGGGTAACTAGAGCTGTGTATTGCCCTTGATGCTGCGCCAGATGTATGCGACTCTCTAGGTCGATGTGCGCTTGCCATATGGAACATCCCTGCCCGAATCCAATTTGACATGGGCGAAAAACCCTTCCTCTGTTGACATATGCGAACATACACTACTCTCTCTATTATTTTGACAAAATTGGAGGTTAGTGCAATTGGCCTGATATTGTCTAAAACGTAACTTTCACCTGGTTTTTTTAGAACAGGTATGGTTTTCCATTCAGATGGAATCCAAGCTTCTCTTATCGAATAATTATCACATTAAGTACATCCTCCCGTGACTCATTGAATAAAATTTTCAGCATTGCTGAAGTGGCTTCAACTGGGCCTGGAGCCACCATTGGAAGTTTTCTCATAATCTCTGCCACTTCGTTTATCGATATATCGGTGAACTGTCTCTTGATCGCGCGATTACTGAAGGGGGGTAAGCGTGCACGTTAAAGAACCCCAGGTGGTCAAAATTTCCGGAGCCCTCCACTACGGCGTCTCTCATAATCAAATGGTGGTTTTGGGACGTTAAACCCCACAAATCAATCAATAAGAGGGGTAAACATTAGTCGAAAATCGCTTTTCCAAGCCTTGAGTTATGCTTTTCAATGATTGCTTCAGTTCCTGAGATGATAAAACTATAGATTCAGGATTTACTGCTTGAGGAATTCGTTTATGTCTCAGATATCCAAATAGAGCTCTTTTGTTATTTGATTTTGAAAGAAATTCAAAATGCTTTTCATCATACTCTGCCTTTGCTCTAGCCACTGTGCATTTAAAAGTACCTGCAATGAATTCCTTACCAGTTTTTTGGACACTGATTGTGTAATAGCTTCTTCCAGGCAGCTTTTCTACGCCTGAAATCCCGAGCACAGTTATCATTCCACCATCGCGACACAGGTGTTTGTTCAACTGATTGAACCTCAAATTTTGCTTTGCTACGCGACTCCTGTATAACTGAACAAATGCTCAATGCTTTTTGCTTTACCGTTGCTTCAGACAGAGACTCCATGAAGCCTCGCAAGCTCCTTTTAAAAATACTGTAATTTATGCATGTAAGTTTTCTAGTAGGAACAGGTATTAGTGGGCATACAATGTCAAATGTAACTGGAATGTGATCGCTATTAGTCGCAGTGTCAACAGTCGACCAAGATGAGATGCCAAGGCCTGATCCTGAATAAGTCGTCTAAAGATGAGGATGACATCCCTCTGATATCAGAAGGGATACCCGAGTTATGACAAGTGAGACTATTACCCTGAGACCAGTCCCATAATTGAGTACCAGCACGAGTCTGTCCTTAAACCCCAAGTTATGTGATGGGAGTTTAAGTCTCCCGCCAATAGGACATTATTACCGCTAATAGAAATTACTCTATCCAAAGAGTTTGTGGCATTAACCCCTGACGGATAATATATATTTGCTATGTGAAATGTTCTACATGAAGGAAGACTCAAAGAAATTACTAAAATTTCGTACTCTGGTGACAGAAGCTGAAGCATTATTTTTGCCTTGTGGCGAAATCTGGTAGAGACCAAAGTAAGTAACCCACCTCCTCTTGACAATCGATCTAAACGAAATGATCTATAATTTTTAAAATGAAAATACTGATCTGAAACTAACCAAATTTCTTGTAGCAATATTATATCGTTTTTTTTTTTCAACAATGAGACAAGATAAATTTGTGGACGCTACAAAAATAGAACAACAATTCCGCTGTAAGACTTTTAGCGGCTCAATGGTGGGATATACTAACAGTTGAAACAACCTTCTCTAGTATGCTGGCCTTTACGACCTTGCTAGACGGAGCCTTTTTTTCTTCTGTCTGTGACGACTCAAGAGAAGAGTTTAAGGGAGATCGGCTATGTTTCTGGGCATGCGAATTGATTTTTACATCAGTGTTGACACTCAGATCTATAGTAAGGAGGTGATCTCTCTCTGTAGGCTTATTAACCACCCGGTGTCTTCTAGGAGCACCCTATCATCTTCTCGTGCTGCATCCTGCCTTCTGCTGAGATGTCAGTGTAGAACTTGTCTGGAGAAGCTGCTGAGTTAATTGAGCACTCGTTATCTCATACAAACATTCTGAGAGGCTGGTAAATAACCTGTCCAATGCTTTTGATACTGCCTTTTCTACTGCGGCCTCAATTGTTTCGGCAAAGCTAGCATCTGCCATTGCATTTTGTCGATTGGCAATCCCAGCATACCCTTGTGTCCTTTCCTTGATAACTGTCATTGCTTCTCTCCTTGAGCATCGTCGCCTGTCTATTACTTCCAACAGTTGCTTCTCTTGAAAAGAAGCGGGACAACTGGAATAATTTGCTTTATGAGCACACTTACAGAGGCAGCACTTTTCAGCTTGAACCTTGCAATCAGCATGTGAGTGACCCTCACCACAAATGCAACACCGCATTCCAGATTTACACCCACCAGCACTATGGCCAAAATGCTAACAATTTTTGCATTGCAGGAGACTCGATGCTAATGGTTCCACCCTGAAGATTAGTGGCCAAGCTTTTATTTTAGATGGGCACGATGTTCCGGCAAAAGTTGCGATGACTGACTCGGTGGCTACCTTTACCTTGTCTACTACTCGATTGCACTGGTAGATAGCTATTACCCTAGCCAAGGAGAGTTTCTCAAGCGAGAAACTCTCCTTGGCTAGGGACTTAGTTGGACTTAGCTAGGGACTTAGTTGGAATGGACTTAGTTGTGAGTCAATTCCACGCACAACTCCGTTGGTGCATGCAAGATGGGGTGATATATGTGCACTCACCGGGATAGAGGCAAATGATGAGCATTTCAGAAGATCCGCTACACAATCTTTGTCTGGTGATCGGCACACGATACCTCCGTGGCCAAGCTGTCGTACCTCAGTGACGCTTTCGTACTCAGAAGTTATCGCCCAAAGCTGCTCCTAAATTGCCTTAGGATTGTTCAACCGGATTGATCCACTACCCAAGGGCACCAGTGCAACGGGAATGCTGCTAGCGCTGTTGTGTAGAAAGAGATTGAGGGAAATCTCATCTGATCGAAGAGAGGATGTCCATGCCAAACTGCCTTGCCCAGAAGAATTCCTGGACATTGCTGCGATCCCTTGATGATACCCGAAAGTAAACTAACACAAGATAACAGATACAAATGGACTCAAAAGATATTGTCACGGTTATTAGCCGTAAACACAAAAGGAGGAAGAAGCCAGCATCACGAGCGGCAGTCTCAGGCGTTTTTCGAGGAATACTGACTGTCGCGCGTCTGCTCTTGCACTTTGTTTTTGTGTGTGAATAGAGCCTTGCTGTTAACGTCGAGATATCAAGCTACCCGATTCTTAACAACCAAAACTACCAGCACCACCATTTCTCGAACAACACTGACATTCCTTTTTTCTTCCGTCTAACGAGCACGTGAATACTCTTTGGTAAACTGCTACAAGCACACTTGCTAGGTACGCACTACACCATAAATAATCCTTTTTGTGTAGTAGGCGATCATTCACTTTGTTATCCTTCGTCATTCTTCGGAGAAGCGTGGTATCCACTACACACTTGCTAGGAATCTTGTGCAATTTTTTGATGCAATGACTGACGACGATGAAAATTATTCCTGAAGTGGTATGTGCTGCAGTTAATAGGTGATCACAAACAAGTATTTTCTAATTGGTTAGATCATTAGATGACTCACTCGTTATGCAATTCGCATTGTGTGATGGCTGGTTGTTCTAAAACACTTCATTACTCATATTAACGAGATTCCTTTCCTGACATCAAGCCTCCCTAAGACCAGTTCAGAAACTGTTTCCGAGCACTGGCGTGGCTCAGTGGTACGATACTGGGCTGGCATGCAGTGGACCTTTCGAATTCCGATGTGTATTGGTGTTTTTTATTTACTGAGTATTTTTCTTTTTTGCGATACTGGTTACGGATACCGGCGGCGGCAGCGGCGGACAACTGCGGCGGCATGCGTGTTCTGATTTCATAACAGTTTTCGCTGTAAAATAATATGGGAATAATAATAAATAATATGGGAATAATAATACTCATGGGTTCATTCAAGTGAAGGCAGCTTGTCAGTTTTCCTGCATCTTTGAAAGGGTTTTTTTATTTTTTTATTTTATTTGCAATACCCTCAGGGCCAAACGGCATCACAGAGGGGGTAGTGGTTGCGAAAGAAAAGACAAACATTTTTACAAATGCAGCGGCGAATCTTACATCGAGCAGAAGATCTTAATTATACAGGTTAGCTAACAGGCTTTATAGCAAACAAAAATGCGGGAATGATGAGAATTACATCAAGACAGAAAAAACGACAAGAAAATAAATACTGT